CTCCGCAATCTCCATCACCATCGTCACCGTCCCCAAAACCACAATTACAAAGAAGCTCTCACCAAATCCATTCTCTTCTTCGAAGGTCAAAGATCCGGAAAGCTTCCTCCAAACCAGAGGATGACTTGGAGGAGTGACTCTGGTCTCTCTGATGGCTCTGCACTCAACGTAAATGACACTACTTTCTTTTCTTTTTATTGCTACTTTTGGATAATGTGACTTGTGGTTTTTTTCTCTCCTTGTCCATGATTGGTTAGAGATTTCAACACTAGGTTAAAAATCTAGAAAAAATCATCAAAAGATTCAATCTTTATGGGGTTGATGCATAAAACAGAGAAACAAACTACTTCTATCAAAAGATTCAACCTTTATGGGTTAAACAGAGGAAAAAAGTTCATATTTGAACCTTGCTTTTTGGGTTCACGTGTTTGTAGGTTAATTTCTCTTTCTTTTTTTAAAAGTCTTTCTAGTTGAAGAAATAAGTAGATTATTTTCTCTATCAAAAGATTCAATCTTTATGTGTTTTTTTATGTACTATTAAAAAAAACAAATCACATCTTTTTGAAAATCACAGTTTTGGTTTAATGGGTTTGAATTTTGTAGGTGGATTTGGTGGGAGGATACTACGATGCAGGGGACAATATGAAGTTTGGATTCCCAATGGCATTCACAACAACAATGCTCTCATGGAGTTTAATTGAATTCGGTACTCTCATGAAATCTGAATTACCAAACGCTAAAAACGCTCTTCGTTGGGCCACTGACTTTCTCCTCAAAGCCACTTCACATCCTGAAACCATTTACGTTCAGGTTTCTTAAACTTTACTCAAAACTTTGGGAAAAAAACAAAACAGAGGAAAAAGAAGAAGTGGTTTATTTATGTTAATTGTTTTGTATAGGTTGGTGATCCAAACATGGACCATGCCTGTTGGGAGAGACCAGAAGACATGGATACACCAAGAAGTGTGTTTAAAGTCGACAAGAACAATCCTGGTTCTGATATCGCCGGTGAAACCGCCGCCGCTCTCGCCGCCGCTTCGATTGTTTTCCGGAAATGTGATCCTTCTTACTCCAATCTCCTCCTCCAACGAGCCATTACGGTAATTCAAACAAAATTAGAAAGAAAAAAAAACATTATTAAGTTTTATAATTAATTAGGTGAAATACTATGCATTTAATAGTGATGTTACAAATTTAGAGAAATGAAAAATTTCGGTTTCAAAATGGTATGAAACAGAGCATTAACTAAAAGATTGCTTTTGTGGGTTTTTAAGGTTTTTGCATTTGCGGACAAATATAGAGGACCCTACAGTGCAGGTCTTAAACCAGAAGTTTGTCCATTCTACTGTTCTTACTCTGGATATCAGGTTTAATTATCTTTTTAATTATTGGTCTAAATTGTTGTTTCTAAGATTTGTAACTATGAAATCAAATTGGTGTATTTTTGTTTTTCCAGGATGAATTGTTGTGGGGAGCTGCTTGGTTACACAAAGCAACAAATAATCCAACGTATCTCAGTTACATCAAAGTTAATGGGCAAGTACTTGGAGCTGATGAGTTTGATAACATGTTTAGTTGGGATAATAAGCATGTTGGTGCAAGAATTCTTCTATCCAAGGTTATTAAAAAGAAACCCAAATTTTGAAAGTGATGAATGATTAAAGATTCAAAATTTATACTCATTGTCATAAATTCTTGATAAAAGACTGATTTTTTTTTGGGAAACCCATTTGTGTGAATTTGTTTTTTGTTTTTCTAGGAGTTTCTGATTCAGAAAGTGAAGTCACTTGAAGAATACAAAGAGCATGCTGATAATTTCATTTGCTCTGTTTTACCTGGAGCTTCATTTTCCTCTTCCCAATACACCCCAGGTTTTTTACTCTTTTACAAATCGACCCCGCATCTTCTCATAATATACATATCTGTCGCTAATCTTCTCATTTACTTACATCTTACCCCTCTGGAGCCACTATAACGAGAGAATATGTTTATGTATTAAGAGAGATTTGATTTTATTAAACTTTTAAACATGTACGTGTAGGTGGGCTTTTGTTTAAGATTGGTGAGAGCAACATGCAATACGTGACCTCGACTTCGTTCTTGCTCTTGACTTACGCCAAATACTTGACTTCTGCTCGTACCGTCGCGTACTGCGGTGGCGTCATCGTCACCCCTGGCCGCCTCCGCTCAATCGCCAAGAAACAGGTTCAAATTCAAACCGAAACCGAACCAAAATTTAATACAAAATTAACTAGTTTAAAAAACAAATCACTAAACCAAATTTTTTTATATATGGGTAGGTGGACTATTTACTCGGGGACAACCCATTGAAAATGTCGTACATGGTTGGTTATGGTCCGAAATATCCACGTAGGATTCACCACCGTGGCTCATCTCTACCATCGGTCGCAGCCCACCCGACCAAGATCCAATGCCACGACGGTTTCTCTATGTTCAGCTCACAATCACCTAATCCCAATGATCTAGTTGGTGCAGTCGTTGGTGGTCCGGACCATAACGACCAATTCCCTGACGAACGTTCCGACTACGCACGGTCCGAGCCAGCCACTTACATTAACGCCCCACTTGTTGGAGCTTTGGCTTATTTCGCTCGTTCCTAATTTGGCCAAGTGTCTAATTAAGCTTAATCATCGTAATTCCTTGGTTTTTTTAGTTTACTTTTAATTGTAAGGATGCTATTGCTATAAATGAATGGCCAATATGGTCCGATCCGACTGAATGATGCGTTTAGATGATGTGGTATTTGATTTTAATGTCATGGCTTTTTTAAAAGTAATTTTTTTTTTTTGTAATTTTGTTTGCTTAATTTGATACATACAGAGTATCGAAAGAGCTTCGCATACTTTTGGTCCCACAGAGCCCACGTTCCACCGCCCATTTCTCTGTGGTGGCCAGGAGTCGAACCCGGGTGGCAGAACTCAAGATGATGAATGTTTTCCATGGGAAACGAGCAATTGACCAGATAAAAAGAGATGGGTGGATTAAAGCTGCCATTGTCTCTGTGATGACAGATTTAATTTTGAAATTTGATGGATTACAAGAAAGAAATGTGTTTGAGTGTTTCATAATACATTAGATTTTCTTAATGTCAACCATGCATGGATTTGATATAGAGCTTAGAATGGTGTAAAATATCTCACTGTGAATGAAAAGTAAGAAAAAAAAAACCTAACCATGATGACTGTTTTTTGTTATTAATTACTAATTTTACTTAAGCTGCATAATGAATGAACCGAAAACATAATAGCATAAAACAAATATGATTTGTAAAACCAGTAGAATTTTCCATGAATCAATCATTTTGTGGTAATTACCAGTAGTAATTGCTTGCAATTTTAGACTATTAGTTACCGAGTAATATTGATCATTCTCAACCACTTAATCAGTGATCGTTTTTTTTTTCTTAGATAAAAAAAGTTACCGTGAAATCAGATTCGTTATCACCTATCGTTTGGGGGTCAAACATCCGCAAAAGAAGATTGAATCACACACCCTATTATTTACCTAAAACATAACTTCATAATAAGAATTAAATCTAAAAATAGCATGCAAACTACCACTATAAAAACATCTCAAATCCTCCTTTGAGCAAATCACTTTTAAATTTGTTTACACACTTTT